GCAACTTTAAGCATTTCATAAGTAGAATTCCACCTAGTACAAACATCTTTTGGAATTTTTCTAAATGGAAGTTTAGCACTAGCACATTGTTGAGCAAATTCACGAATTCTATTTTGTTTATGAGCACGAAAAATATAGCCACAAGCATGTTGTATTTTACTACAAACATCAGAAAATAAATTAAGACCATCTTTTACAATCAAGTTAAAAATATGACATGCACATCTAACATGAAAATTTGTTGGATTAATTGGACAAAGTCTAGATTTTAAGCTATTTGTTGCGGTTGTGTTAGAAGAAGCATTATCTAAGGTGATAGTTAAAACTTTATTAATGAGTCCATAAAAATCAAGTATTTGTAGAACAGTAGTTGCAATATATGCTCCAGTGTGTTTTGAATCAACAAATTTATAACCAATAATACGTTTTTGCAAGTTCCAGTAATGATTAACCCAATGACATGTAACAGTTAAATAATCACAACCATTAGGACTACGACCTATATCAGATGTGATAGACACTTTACAATCTAAGTGAAAAAATACACAACGAATATACTGAAGATATTCGGTTTGAAATTTAAAAACATCATTTCTAACCGTGGTCTTAGGAAAACCTTGAAAAGCAGGGTTATAAGTTTCTTGTATATAATGCACAAAAGCAGGGTGAGAAGGGAAAGTAAAAGGTAAGCCACAGACAGCCACCATTTTTACTAAGTTCTCACGATCTCTATCTTTGTTATATTTGCATAAAACATGACCAGAAGCAGGGTTAAGTTGTTGTTGAATTTGATTAGAACCAGATCCGCTAGGAGTGTCAGTACTGATGGTAGGATCTATAATTTTTCCGGCTTCTATGTTAGCTTGTATCCATAAAGATTTGTGATCCCTTATTAAGTGTCTACTTAAACCCCCCGTCCCACCACTTGTTGTGTGTGCAAATACTTGCTTACATTTTTCACATATAGCACGATGATTGACTTTATCATGTTTAAAAAATTTCCATACAAGTGATGTTTTGGGACGTTCAGCCTTAGGCTTACCCCTTACAGGGGGTACAGGGGGTAAAGCTCTAGACTGAGATTGACTCTGAGTTGGAGCTTATGTTGTGGGACTAGTGGGTGTTTCATCTAATTCTTCTTCCTCATTTTCTTCATCCTCAAAAAAATATCATTGCCAAATTGTCTTTGTAAAGTTTCATGATCTAATTGTTCTTCGACATGAACATCATAAAATGTGGGGGTTGAGAAAATGAAGTTTCATCAATATGAGTCATTTCATCAATATGCTTTCTAATTCTAGGTCTAGGAGAAGGGTTAGGATTAGGATTACTACTACTTTCACCTTTACTATTTTTTTACTGCTTTTAAAAAAAATACCAAATATATTTTTAGGTGCCATAATTTAAATACGAAATTAAATTAAAAAAACTAACACAAATATTAAACACACAAATAAAATACGAAAATTAACACGTAAAGTAAACACAAAAATTAAGCACTAAAATGATACGCAAAAATTATATATTAAAATTAGGAGATGGAACGAGTGCACCGTGATTAAATATTGAAACTTGAAGAAATTGCCCAAAATATTGCTCCAAATACTTGACGAATTAATTTGAAGCTTGAAAGTTGCTCCAAAAAATTTGCCCAAATACTTGAAAGTTGAAACTTGAAAGTTATCACTTGATACTTGATAGT